AATCTCTCGATAAGTCGGTTCTCTCGATAAGTCGGTCCATCATGCATGACCGACTTATCGAGTTTGCCTGTGTACTAAGAAAATCAATTCCCACTTTTGAAATACCATTGATACTGACTCTTCTCCCTTTAAAGTCAATAACAATAACAATGAAAATTTTAAACCTGATTTCCAAAGTAAGTGTCAATTTCTTTGGCTGTTGTTTAACATGCTTTGGACATTGCAAATTTAATAAGGAGAATTAATTTTTAAAGCAACGATCATATAATAATAATTATACATGCATAGTTTCAATCTTCAGCTACTCCAAATAGTCACAAATCACCAGGTACAAATAAAACCAAATCGTGGTATTATTTTTATTCTGCCCACCAACATTGTCACAAATGGTTTTTCTCCTTTATATTTATTCAATTTCTTAATGCCATCAAAAATTAAGCTAAGTGGATCCAAAGATTTCTGAAAGGGACTTGTTCATGGCCTTGACGCAATCCTTTTCTGATTCATAAAATGCTTACACTGCATCGATTATTATTATGTCCATGGTGGCCTTTGCAACGTTATCAGATATCGGTATTGACTTGTTCCAGAAACACTATGGTAGAGAACCACAGGAGGACCGATGCGGTTAGCAGGTCGGCCTATGAACGGATGTCGTAATTCTTTTTTGATTATAATAAACTTTCTCTATGATTGGTCAGAAGATTCCAGCAATACTGTTGGTTGAATTTTATTGACGAATAATAATAGTAATAAATTAATTATGATGATAAACGAATTGTTATCCAGCCTTCAAAATATTGTAGAGTCGGCTAAGATTATTGAAGCTAGCGATAATCATAGCTCACTAGAGATTGATTCCAGATACGATGTATCCGGTTCTGCAGGAGAAATCGAATCTAGTAATAATGTAACACGCGCTTTTCCAGAAAATATCTTATCTGTAAACGACGTTTCAAAACTTGCAACGACGAGCAGAGCGAGGGAACTTACGTGCCAGAAAATACATCCCAACAGATATCGCTACTTTCAGGATACATAACCCGTGAGAAGCGGGAAAAACGTTTAAGAGAATGGCCATCGATCATGGTGAGGACCCCGATAAATGTACGGCGATAACTGAGAAAGATAGAGACTTATCAAGGATATACCGAGATAGAATGATGTTCTGATGCAGGGATAATAGACTTTGCACGAGATCAAAACCTCGATCCAGTCTATAATGACGAAGAATGGGTAAAAATATAGCGATATTCCAAGAGAATGGCTATTTATGGTAAAATGTGTTTTCCACGTTCATTAACATATTGTAAAGATTGAACCCACATTTCCTTTATTTGTTGTCGTAAATCACGTGATCAAAAATATACATTTAAACCGTTACCGAAGAGCGCCCGTGTAAAGTACCCCACCACACGTGGCTTATAATAACCAATGACAAGTTCGCATTCACTAACTATATTTTAATCCCTGTCATAGAGTGGTCAAGAATAGATGAGTGTCATAGTGTGTTATAGATTGATTGTGCAGCTGGAACTGTTGTTAGCAAACCAGAAATATAATTTTGTACCCCGGGTACTTTACACGGATACATAATACTCTGTCCATAGTACCCCCTATTACAAGATTTGTAAAGTACCCCGGGTCCTTTAGTCAGCGCTCTACGGTACTTTTAATATAATTACATCGCAAGTCTTAGAGAATTTGCTTTAATCGTATGATCTAATGATATGTCTAGTGCTTTAATCGTATGATCTAATCGTATGATCTATTGACATGCTTAGTGCTTTAATCGTATGATTCTAATGCATGTCTATCGTATGATTCTAACGATATGTTTACTGCTTTAATCGTATGATCTAATGACATGTCTGGTGCTTTAATCGTATGACTTTAACCGCATGATCCAATGACATGTCTAGTGCTTTAATCGTATGATCTAATGTCTTTGATTGTATGATTGTTATAACATTGCCAATTATAAGTATTTGTGTAGCCAATGTGTAAGTAATTATATTGGACAATTAATCATCGTACGGGATGTGGACCACCAATTAATATTAAATGTATACATCTTACAAATTGTTACGTGAAACCGACATCAATTGTTACGTGAAACCGACATCGAGACACAACCAACTAACAGCTAAGATAGCTGGAGCCGCGGCTTATCGAAATAGTGAAAAAAATTTTGTGTATCTATTTGCGCAACGTAAAAATATAAGATTCCATAATCACGTGACATTAAAAAAAATCGGTATTTCCTGTACGGCTTACGCGTAATCGAAAAACTTCTTTCTAGCGAACCTCTTTTCTTTTACGCGTATCATCTTGTTCTCTTAGTGTTTCTAGAAAAATGTGACAGCTCTTCTCTTTTCATATCCTAATGTACACTTTTTTTGTTAGTTCGTTTTCGAATTATAAAATCGAGTAAAAGGAAACGATGAAAAAGAAACAAAGGTCGAAATAATTGATTATTAGACCGGACACTCCAAAAAACGGCTCACTTAATCAGTAACGGAAAAGTAGTATTGATTTAGTTCAAACTAAAAACCGTCCGTGGACTGGTTGAGAGAGATAGGAAAGAGAAAACTATTCAGGAAGAAATCGACGAGGTATACCAAGCCTGGTGTATTGCCGCGGATAAAGACGCAGACTGCAGTACAAAACGATGACCCGCTCCAAGGTATGCTTTACGTCTCTAAGCACTATCTCTATATAAGAAAAACGCCAAATATTTATGAACTTGTCACTCTATACTTTCAGGGAAATTACTTTTAGAGCCCGTAACAAATAGCTTTCAAATAACCACCTTCGCTTTGGAATAAAGACGATGTTATGCCAATCGCAAAACTTCTCTCCGGTCGAACTGCTATCGATGGGAACAGGGATAACAGCGAGGGAGCTTGGGCCTTTGCTATTATAAGCCACGAATTCAATCTATTTTAGATAAGCACGATAAGATACGCGGATTAATTGATCCAACCTACGTTGTGGCAATATTTTTAATTATTAGTGTCTGGAAATTAACGTACTCTAGTTGCAAATGATAATTAGGGTTTTCTATTCAAGCTAAGAATAGTATAATTGCAGAAAATTTCACCGCAATTATTTACTTGTCAACCAATTTTGGAACCTCGCCGATAATTATTTGCTATTTGAAATAATATTTTTTATAGTATATAACCTAGCAAAGTGAGCATATCCGAGCTCAGTCGGTATACCTCTGAGTTGCTTAACGAACTTGCGGATGATAGAAAGAGGGATCAAGCACGAAGACGCCTTCGAGTTGGTTTCAAATTCAGCGATGAGCAGGTAAGCATATTGATTCCTGCTCAAAAAAGTGGCCGTGGAAAAGTAGTAAATCTTATAACTCAAGAAAAAGCTTTACCGAATTCAGAAGAAACCATCAAAGAATTAGCAAAAAAAATCCAAAAGTGTGCATTTAGAGAGAGTGTGCATTTACAGAGAGCAAAATATATAAGCTGGGACTGAACCATACCGTGCATTTATGGAGGGTGCACTTAGGGAGAGTTCACTGTATATTGTTTCGACTATCTTCTGATCTTTGATTATTGTTCTCGAAGTTCTAATATTAATGCTCGTTTATTGTTTATTATTTTTCGTTCTTCTTGATAAATTTCATTAAGTAATTTTTTTCTTTATCTATAGATATTTTTGTTATCATTGATTTTAAAAACGTATGGAGCAATTCTTTTAAACGCTTCTGATTGTGCTGTAATTCTTTGGTTCCATAGTGGATTTGATGTAAATTAGTTTCATATGTTTTATTTTTATATAGAGATAATCCTATATTAATATTAAACATGTTATAATTTAAGCAAACATCTGTGCCAATTTCGATTAAAATAAAGTTAAAGATCAAGATAGTCAATAATTTCACCTTGTTCCTTTTTTAGGATGCTTCTGATAGCGCTGTAATTCTTTGGTTCCATAGTGGATTTGATGTAAATTAGTTTCATATGTTTTATTTTTATATCGAGATAATCCTACATTAATACGGTATTAAACATGTTATAATTTTTAGCAAATTTTCAATTAAGATCAAGATAGTCAATAAATTTATGCCTGAGCCACACTGTGCCACCTTTCCAAAACGTCATCGTCACTTACCGTATTTCTCTGACTCAAGCGGGTCCTTGATGTAGGGCATTTATACGTATGCCTGATTGGTAGTGTAGAAGACGAGTTAACAACTGAGTTGGAGGAGAAAGAAATGTGAATAACGTGCTTGATATAATAATAACTAGTAACATTGGTGGAAACATTTATGAGGATGATATATTATGAGAATATATGGTAGATGGCTATTAATATTGACAAATAAAATTAGGGGATATTTTGCATGAAATTATTTGTTTATAATACCCCGGATATTTTACTTGATGATATTTATTTCTTCGAGAATGGTATCCGGTTAGTTAGAGAATACGGTAGTTAATTTTTAACTCACATAGTCAAATGTTCACTTTGTCTGGTTTTGTCACAGTCTGCCCCACATAATAAACATAATAATATAATTACCTCATCTATTAACATGTGACTCGTACAAAAAAGTAATAGTATACAAGATAAAATCTCCAAAGCATATTCCGTCAATATAACAACCATCCTCTTGAATCAGCATTCAAAAGCTAATATTGGATACTGGTCCAGCATTATGTATTTATTAATATTAATACACTATGTACAATGGACATCCTCAAGTTCTACATTAAACTTACCGGTTTAACGTCTTGTCAACAAATTTCATAGTACACCCATAGCACCTAATTTTCTTTATCACATCTCCATGGCAGCCCCCTCTCGTATAACCTTATCACATGCTTCAAGAAAATTATTAAATCTCTTCAAAACCGCAAGATTACCCTCAGCATGTCGATTTAATGCTGAAGGAACAAGTGAAAGTGATAAGCTGCTGCAATGAGATGTGATTGTTGATAAAAGGGCTTCAAAGCCATCCTTATATAGTAGAGGATGAGTGAGGAATTAATGTTGAGTGAAGAAAAATTGAACTTGCATAAAAAATAAAATAAACGAAATTACCTTCTCATGAAGACTTTCCAAGTCTAATGCATTTTTCTGCTCAGCAGCAACAGATTCTCGAAGCAATTCCAATTCCGTAAGAAAGTTATGAACTTGTTCTAATTTCTAAAATTTACAATACAACACGTATAATTAGCTTGAAGAACAGACTAGCCTAATGCTTTCTCTTTTTTATAACCAACACCTTGTGTCTTCGCGTTATCATAATCCAATCACTCAAGCGTTCTCAACTCCAAGATTGCACAAAGTCAAGATCATACCTTTCTCGCTTTCTCTTCAGCTTCATATTCAGCTCGGAGTTTACTAAGCTCCGTACGTACTTGCTCCCGTTCTTTTTGCAGAGCTAAAAGCTCCTTGCGCAGAACAGCTTTCCTCAATTTGGCTTTGCGAAGACGATTTTTCAGTTCTACTCGGTCGTCTGATAAATCGGTCTTGTGTTTGATATTGTATGTCTCAGTACATTACAAAAAAGTTTGATCAGGAGTGAAGTAAAGTATGCGCGTCACCTGTTCTATTAGACGGAGTTCCACTTCTTTTTCATATAGGCTAATATCCCTTCTTAATCGATCACTATCGATGTCATTTCTAAATAAGAGTAGACTAGTGAGAACGAACTAATAGAACAGAGATAATCACATTGATCAATGATGCAGTGCTTCCATTTGACGTCGAATTATGAAACTTACAGATATTCCTCAATACTCTTTCTGATTTCATCAGCAATGACATCAACCTCATTCAAAGCAACATAACTGCTTTCTTGTATTGTATCTCCTTGCTCACCCTTTACAACTGCCCGTTTTATCTTATGACACTCTATCTTTACCCTGCCATTTCTGTTTTCCGTTGCTTTGCTCTTTGTTCTTCCCTTTTTCGTACTGGCCCCATTTCCCCTTCCTCTCGGCTTAGTCACTTTACCCCGACTTCTTCTGTTATCCTTTCCACCACTACTCTTTCCCCCACTACTCTTTCCTCTACTTTTGCCTCTCCCTCTACCTTTCCCAATGTCTTTCCGCGAACTTTCCGTCGACTGAGCAATATGTCCGTCTTCCGAGCTATTGCTTGCGATAACTCTCTTATGCCCCGCGCTCTTATAAGCATGCTTTGAAGAGGAGGTAGGGGTATACGTGGATACTTTTGTTGGGGTAGAGGTGTTAGATGACATACAATTCCGTGGTGTTATGACAGTTAAATCGCGACGGGAATAAGAAAGCTGGTAGTTTTTTTGTGTGCCTAATGGAGAATGATAGAATATTGAATAGATCAATGGAAGAATGAAGCGCGTTAATAGTTTGATTTGTATACGGTGCATTATTAGTAGATCGATAATCAAGCGAGAAGGGTCTAGATCTTACCTGCTGCTTTGCTATCAGATCTGGTAACCGGAAAATTAGAAGATTTGAGGATATCTTCGATAATCGGGCTATGACTTGAGGTGTCGGATACTCGGAGAAACAACGATTTATTATTTTTACCATTTTCAACGTTTCTATCATTATTACTATTTATGTGACTGTTGGATTTTGTCGAGATTGGTTGGAAGTCTTCGTATGAGGATTGATTTTCGTGTATTGCATGAGAATCTACCGAGTTGGAGTCTTTGGACACGGTTATTTGAAAGTTGCGTGCCTGGGTTTGGTGAGAGCTGAAATGGGAGCGAAAAAGTGAGGTTAGCGTGGTAATAAGGCTGGTAGATATGAGCTATGCTCGGTTATCTTTGATCATAAGGCTTTCGTAGAGTCTATGCGCTAACAATTGACCACAGCATCTTTCGGATCTACCTACCCTGCACCCCTTCGTCTTGCCAATGCCCTTTCCTGGTATTTATCAGGTACGTTTATTCCTGCTGCAAAATACAAGATCCAATGTGAAACTAGACAAGTAATTTAGTCGGACTCTGTGTTGTTTGACCGAGAGCAACATACCTCGTGTGAACATACTCAAAGGTTTGTATATACGTTATCTGTCGATGAAGACTTTTGTGACGACGCGTTTTAGATGTGGATTTGTCACATGTGTACGTTGAGAGAATGACGTAATTTATACATTGTTTTTAAATTGTCAAGGTTCCCTTGCTCCATTTACTCAACCATCCTTCATACGTACCTACAACACAGTCAGTTTGCCTTGCCCTTCCATCTTTGCGAATTGATTTCTTCTTCCTGCCTCCCCATGTGCAATTTGAACTTTACCCATTCTATGTTGCATATCCCATATGATTCCAGAGATAAGCTACCGATAGCTAATAGTTTTCGGTGAACATTCTTCCGTTTTGGGGTCGCCATTTAAGCGGTAGACAGTTTATTGGATATGATATATGTACCAACTGTACAATGCGTTTAGAATACGAAACGTTTATTGACTTTGTGTCGACTAAATCGAGAAGGTTGGATGATGCAAGGAGAGTAGTTGCGGAACATTGATTACTTAAGGGTAAATAAACAGGCACCCAATCAAGAACAATATCAATTTATTCGCTCAATAGCAAAAATATTGAATGATAACTTTGTCATTACAGAGAGTATCGTTATTGTTCTCGAGGAAATAATTAAATGTATAAAAGCATTAAGGGGACAGACAGTATGTGAGAACAGGTGAAGCACGAGATGTGTGCAGATGATAAATTCAAGCAAGAAATAAGGCGTGAACAGGAATGGTAGATATGCGTTATCTTTATCAGTATGTATTTACCTTTCAATATTATATTCTATCATACAGCTATAAAGTAGCCAGGCACTATTGTATTTCCAACATATTTCCGATAAACTTCCTCCATCCCTTTTCTCTAGTAAATTACATAATATACCACAGCATATAATATGACCTAATCCATCCTCATCTGACAGATCTCCAAGGGCATTGCCGCAATTACTAGACAAACATTTGAAAATTCAGGATTTGGTGAACTTAACTTTGATTTCATAGATCTCATTGAACGGGTGCAGGAGAATGAGGACGAATTAAATGGTGAGGACAATAAGTAGTAGTGAGGCGTCGAGCTAACTGGATGAAACGTGAACGAGAAGACTGATGTGATGTGAACAGAGACGAGATAAGCGAATGAGCAAGTTGAGGTTAATTCGAGGACGGTTTCTAACATAATGTGACGAAATATGGATAATTTCGAGATATTTGACACCTCTATATGTTATGAAAGACAAATAGACGGGCTAATTGGGGCTTGCGAGAAAAGCAGTATAGGGTGCGAGTATGATATGCGAAACGCTTGCATTGTCTCCGAATGTCATCCGATGTATTTGTAAAGCAAAAAAATGCTGATGTCATGTGAGATCATAATTAGTGTTTCAGCTTAGACGCATATGCAATTGTCGATTGTAACGTATATGCAATATGTGAAGGGCGCTGAAACAATAAGGAATAGTATGAAGGCTCGAGCGGGCATATTATTTCGAATTCGAAAATGACGTTAGTAGTATGATGAGAGGATATAGTGAGAATGCAGTACTTTTTAGTAAACCGACTAGGAAGATGTTCCACGTGACGTGAATAGAACGCAGTGACGTGATAGAGCGCACTGACGATTGACGTTAATAAATAAGCTATGCTAATAAATAAAGATCGGATATTAACGAATATGCTCAATAGTTATGACGATATACCATTATCCAACCAACCGTATATGATCTGTTTATATGTCTTCACGGACCACTACCCCACTTTTGAATAATAAGAGGATGTGATGGACCGCTTGTTTCACAGCATGTTTGCGTCAACACAAGTGGCAAGCGGAGAGCCCATTACTGGGAGGGTTGCGAAAGATTTCGTGGTTTGTTTGTTACTATTATATTAATATTATAAATAAAAAGTTGGTATTATTGATCGTTGTATCACATACGGGACTTGGGCCATATAAAAATGATGTTCTAAGCCGGCGGACTTTGAACTAAAGTGCGGAGTAATCATCACATAATCGGTCGTTTTTTATGAATTTAATATAACGTGGCTTATTCTTTTGTTGACTTAAAGTTGAGATTAGATTGCATGTGATGCCGACTACAATTGTTGTTATGTAAATGAATTGGAGTCAAAAAAATTAAGTCCTCAATTGATTGAGATTAAAACAGACTGGTGCGACATACAAATTCATGTCACACATATATATTAATAAAAAAATTTTTCAATTCTCTCTTTAGCTCGCTCGTTCTTTATAACTCTTGCTCTTTCTTACTCTTTCTTTCTCACTATTACGCTTTTTTCTCTTATCCTCTCTCTGCCAGTCATTTGCATAACGATACAAGATTGGCTAAAGATTGCCACCTGACATTGTCAACCATTATTATAATTATTTTAGGTTATTAACATATGCAAAAAAAAAAAAAAAAGAAAAAAAAAAGGACTGGGGCACCTATGGTATTGCAGTTTAAACTATAAACGCCCGTATCAATATAAATATACTGTAATAGTGATATAAATAAATAAACTGCAATACAGAATAGAATGGGGAGTTTATGCATTGACCAACAAATTTCACGGGAAAAAAACCTTAGTTCCTTTATTTATATTTCGGTATAATAATTATTTATACATAAACTTTATAATATAATAGACAATCGTTTTTTACAATAAAAATTTTTTGTTATATTAACTCACGCTTTGGTTGCAACTCATCAAGGGATTAAACATAAAAACAACTCATCTCTCTCTACCACTAAGTAACATTATTGAACCTTCTTTCAGACGTCTGCACTACACCAACTCTCCAACTCCCATTTTTACACTCCCTATTCCCAATAACCAACAATGACCACACCTCCCTTCAACACCGTATATGCTCATGCTCCTTCACTTCATCAAAACGCGATTTACCGGCCCCAAATGAACACGTCATATGTAGCTTCGACACCTACCCATCCTCCTCCTCCCCCTCCCCCAAATCAATATTATCTGGGTATCCCCCCTTCTCTCAATGATAGCACTTCTCACCACTCGCAAGTTTTATTACAACAAACACAGGGCAGCAGTCAGGCAGCAAGTCACGGTATCAATGGCAGTATAGGAACGCAGCTGCAACAGCCACAGAATCCTGCCTGGGCAGGTCTTGGTGATAAGCGAATGCAGCAGAGTTTAGGATTTGGAAATGCAGGATCAGGCCATGCTGGAATTATGCCATTCAATAACGGATTTCACAATTCTTCTCCCAATGCATCATGTAAGTGAAAAATAGATAGAGTTTCAGATATGTGAGATGTGTGAAAGATTAGATTTTAGTGATAGTCCGCAACAAGCCATTGGACTTTCCTTCTTCGTCATTGTATGTACATAATCACTATCGTCACTATTGTCACTGTCATTAATTATCACGACAGCTGTAATAATATATTACCTATAATCGATATTTTCCCACATGCATTGCCCCCTATTTTATTTATTCAATTACCTTCCTTTTATTTGCTTCCCCACCCCACAAACCATTCCCAATCTCCTTGTAATAAAGTAACACACTCAACGCTTTGACCATTTTTATACATACAAAACAACAAATTCTATTATATATTTTTTTTATAATTATTATACAACTAATGATAGAAAGAGATAGTGAGAATGAAGATTGAATGCAAAAAAATTTTTTATTTCGATTAATGGAGATAGAAGGTTATATATAAAACGAGGTTTACGAAAGAGACGTGTTCATAGGATATGAAAAACAGCATGCAGCTTACGTGGTTGTATTTCGTTTGCCAATGTACAAATCATATTTCCTACCTATTAGCGTTAACTGACTAAACCCTTTATCCCTTCCCCCCCTCCCTCCCCCAATATATCAATCAAATCATCATTCGCATCATTTCTCAACACGATATCCATACTCCCTTCGCTTACCTAATATCCGATGCACAATGGGCTGAATTGTCGCATATTAAATTCGTATCCGATATCACATTACAATTATGGGAAATATAGTGCCGATGAGTCTGCATGCCGATGAGAAGATAAAATCAATGTCTCATCACACACCACAGCCGATGGGCTTAGCTTCTTCAATCGTACGTTTATATGATAATGGTTGGAGCAATTCGTTATAAAAGTATCATCTTTGTGATATCAATTAACATACATCCTACTATAATACTAATCACGCCACTTCTTTTAAAACACAAACCAGAGCTCATCTCAAGTTCCCCAAGACCTTCCTTCTGCTCTGCTCACAGCCCAATCTCGACCAGGATGCCGCATACTTGCTACTACGAAACGCGCGGCTCAGAACCGTGCTGCTCAACGTGCCTTCCGTCAACGCAAGGACAGATATATCAAAGATCTCGAAGTCAAAGCAAAGGAACTAGACTCATTCAGACGTCGTCTTGAACAAGCCGAAAAAGAAAAGGAAGAAATGAAGTCTATCATAACAGCACTCAAAGCAGAAGTTGCTAAATTGAAGGGCGAAGCAGATGATGATAAAAGTAGAGGGGAAAGCAGTAGCAACAGTAGCTCCAACATTAACAGTCCGTTCACTCCGAACGGGTCTAGTGAAGATGATCTAAACGGATTAGGAGAAGATCCTTGGATGAGGAAACGCAAGAGTGCATTCTATAATGAGCGTACAACATCTGCATATCAATCACCACCATCTCATCCTCGGCTGTCTATAAACAGTCACGCTGACTCTGCACGTCCTTCTTCGACAGCAGCGACCACAAATTCTAGTACATCTCCCACCAACGCATCCAACGCGTCTACCAGTCCCACAAGTTCTAATAATCATTTCGAGCTTAATCGAAATGATTACCGCTCATATCCTACTTCGCCAACGTCCGATTCACGACGACCGTTCAATAGCTGTGTGAATAACGCACAGTCGCGTTCTACTGTCAGCGAAGATGATCCGGCTGAGAGAGTGATGATGGATGACTTGTGTGAATTGCTTCGAACTAGAAGTCATCCCGATGTACACACTAGCATGGGTGTTTCTTTTTGGCCAGGTAGAAATTCCGCACCTGTTGTTGCAGGGAATGGAAGCAATGCTGTTGTTGGGTGAATGCGTATTTTCAATGAAAGGGGATGCTGATGCAGGTGTTTAGTAATGAAGCTTAATGTGTTTTGATATGTGTTTATTGTATCGATGGGAGAGAATGAGATTATGGAATATATTATGATCAAATGTCAAATCTGTTAGTTCCTCTTCTTTTTACGGTAAGATATCATATTTGCTATGCCGCATTGACTATAATTGTTATGTAACCATTTTTTTATACGCACTCAATTTAGACATATATGGTTTTTCCCTCAAGCTCTCTCTTGGACGACAAAAAGTTACGAAATCTATGAAAAATTGCCACAGAGAAATTTCCTTATTTTACTGTTCTTTTTTGCTTGTAAATATTTAGTTATTATACATTGTTTCTTCTATATATTTAGCATAATAGCGGTTACGTTTTTGTGATCTTCCCTTCAATCGAGTGTCTTATACGCAATTTCGACAATCAAAAAAAAAAAATTTTTTTCTTCCTATGATTGAATCCACCTTATGTGATATATACAATATGATCTATATAACCTTTTCGTGATTACCACGTAAAAATCCATTAATTCCCTTTCCTATCTATCGTTGTTTTAAATCGTACATATTTTTCGAATTTCTTTTTAATGCTCTATAATGATCGTATACCAAGTACATATAGCATTGTAGTTGTGTAACCATGTGTCAGGTATCGGAAACAAAAGTAAAAAGCCATAATTAAAAATTAAATATATAAAGGCAAGATTAAGAACTAAGATGTATATGCATTAAATACGACGAGTTATTATAGTTTATTGCTAGTTGGTAATTTTTATTGCCGAATTAATCGATTCTATTGTATATCGAATGGGATCTGCCACAAACGTCTCCGATCTTTGTCATTAGCGTAAACATTCCTTGATGGAGATGCATGTATATTTGATAATTTTGAGCTCAGACCATCTTGTTGAAAACAAACCACCCACGTTATCGATGACGGCATATTGATCCGAATGATCGTCGTAACCGGGCAATATATGGTTGAATTTAATATAACAAGTATTATATAATACTACGAGTAATTATTGCTATACGACTTCGGTATATAAATCTCCGAATAATCTTAACGTTAAACTCTAATACTAATAAAACTTAGTTTGTTATTAAAGTTATCACGTGAAAATCCCAAGTACTGTATACAGTAGACAGTACTACCGAATGTGTGATTATATCGTATCAACATCGCGCGTAGTTTGGCGTGCATCTTTTGTAAATACGACGCATACATGCCGGAAAAAGACAATTACATTGAGACACATATTGTATAGAAACCGAAAGTGGTTAATGTCTTTGTATGCGATCACTTATTTCAGTCAATTCAGCACAAGCCGCAAACAAACAGCCGATAACGCCCGATGATATTGCGTGTGATGGGCAATAATCGAATGATCGAACTTTTAAGGCTAAAGCTATTGGTTTGACTAACAATACATGCTGATCCGCACAAGCAAGTACAAATTTAGAATGCTTTAAAAAATTGTTATGGAAACTCGGGGGTGGAGGGATTCTTTGTTTGAATATTTATGTAATAGGCGTTTTCCTCCTGGTTGGAACGAAAATGGCCGAGATTCCCGATTTCTAATTGTAGCCAATGAGATTTGGTTGATATGACTGGTTCAAATTAAGAAACATTGCCCACACAATGATATCATTATTCAGAAATCAACTATCCAAAGTCTCCCCCCTCCACCTCCTCCCCAGCCTACACCCGAGATTTCAGAAACGATCTCGGAAATTATATTTCCCAGTATCAAAAAAGGAGAAAAGGCAGCACAGGAAGAACGGTAAGTTTTTGAAAAAAGATGCAACTCTCTGCATCAAGAAATCAGACCACTGGAGAAAAGGCCACCCCCACAGCAAACAAACAAAAACAAACAAATTGTTAAGTACCATCACCCCTTTAAAGCCAAAAGAGGAAGATAAGTAATCAAGCGATATATAGATAATAGATACATACGATCGTATTAAGACTATAGATTTTTTTTTATGCCGTGCACAAAGTAATTAATACACACACACCACAGTATTCGTACGCCACATGCAAAAAGGCGAAACTTCATTTTGTCACAAATAGAAATTCAGATATTGTCTACAATGATGGTTCATACAATATGTCCTACTTGCAAGGCATTCTAGATCAATAATAGGCCAAGTCGCATATGTTGGGTTTTTTTTTCATGCTTACAGCACTTGTGAATACAATTAAATAACAAGACTATTGAAATAGTCGTATAAACTAAATATGAATATCTGACAGAAGGCACTAAAAGACTTTCGAACTCTACAGTCAAGACAATGTGATTATGAGACACTACAATGCCATTTTAACATAATAGGTTATAATAAATTATTAATTAATTTTCTTGCATTTAAATGACAATCAATGTCAAAGCGTAACGAGCAGACCGAAAGTATTTACTTGAATGTGAAAATAATAATAAATCATAACATGACAAGGAAAGGTTTGCCAAAATGATTGAATACCAATATAGAAATTATTCAAATTTTATATTGTCAATGTAGTTCTATAAATATCTAGTGACTCAATATACCAAACCCATTTTTGTAAATTTGTGCATATGACCTGTAGGCTCTCACGGCTCATCTGGGGTGATTTTTTTGCAGAATCTTGGGGAGGTTCCCTACACTCGCATTCATTAAGTTATGTGCAGTTATGTATATTGGTGATCAAAGGCAGGGTACCAGTTCTGTGTTACAGACTGGGGGTGTAAGAACTGGTAAGTAGTAACCAACCAAAACTGTATGTGTAACTTATCAAAAAAAAAGTATAGCAATGCCCGTTTATACGCATAAACTGGTTTGAGCGGTTGTGTAAGCAGAGAAACTATAGTTAGCAGAAACAAAGTGGGGGAAGGGGTGTGTGGGTACGGAGCACAGCATGTTTATTTACCCAAGACGCTTGTATCCTAACAGTATACAACGAATGCTCACTTGTTATACCATTGCCCAATATCTTTACATAAACTAATATTGTGAATTGGCAGCTGTCAGATTGGTGTCAATCTGCTACCATTGCCGGCCATAATATACACCCATTGTTCGTGCTAATTGCGCCTGACATGAGGCGCGGCGAATTGTGCATTTTCTCATGGTCACCTTCTAGGTAGAATTTTAGGAGTAGATTATCACATGCTGGTAGTACGTGAAGCCAACGCACCCTGTCCATTTATCGGACAAATTGAGCACATACATATCCTGTATTGTGTGTGTGAGTGTGTGTGAGGACATCCAAGACCGAAACAAAAAATGTCTGACTGAAAGTCCTTGCTGCGGATTATCGGTTTCAGATATGATTGATTAAAATGGTTCGAGTTTTAGAAAGTTGCAAGTAAACAGTCTCTATATGCGTTCGATGTCGGATAATTATCGGGAAGAAAAAAATTTTTTTTTTTGAAATTAGACGCCGAAATGAACCTTAAAAATATACGCGATATAGTTTTTTTGAAATGTATAGCGAAGATCAGACGCCAAGCTTGAAACGCGGACAAAGGGAATTCAAATGGCTTGTGCAGTGAATGAAATCTCAAATTGGAAAGCTTAATTAGTTAAACAAGATGTACTGGCATAAAAGATATCTAGATGAAGAAGATCTCATGCTCCCCGATCATCAGAAAAAACTTTGTAATTTAAATTAGGTTACTGGAATGCCAGTAAAGAATATATTGAGAAAGGTACTACGTGCATCGAGAAAACAAAGAACACAAAGCATGTGAGGAGGCTGTTAAGACATTTCTTACTATCGCAAGTTTTCTTGTTCAGAAGTTTATGGGTGTGCCATCCACCGCATTAAGATATCCTGTTCCGTTCAGCTGAGTATTCATTCCCACAGCCTATTTCCAAAATCAATTGCCAGTAATCATTATAAAGATTAATATACATTTTTATTATTATGTACAATTTGTAAATTTGACAGAGCAAGGAATGGGGAAGATGCAATACTGGCACAACCATAACAAAGCTACGGAATTTTCCAACCTAAGAACGTGTAGACAAGCAGGGATCATTATGATGATTTATTGGATAAACTGACCTTTTCAAGAAAGAGGCAAGGATTAAAGGATTGTGTGCTCGTGAACATCTGCCCATGGCAAGAACTAACCCTTGATATAGAATGCTTGCTTATTGCCTGACAGATATTTTTGATCCGTTCCATAGAACATTGAAGAAGGCTGCACACCTTATAACCCAAACATTAAATAGAAAGGAACATGATGCCAACGACATTGTTGCTCATAGGCAGACAAGCATATTGAAGACCATCTTGGAACATGTCCCGCCTATTACTATTGGGGAATGACTTTATTTTGTCTTAAATACCTACCCTTATCACAGAGACGTCGCCACCCATTGGCAGTAGCAATAGCATCTGATGCCATGGACGCGCAGACGGGAGGAATTCACTTCCCATTGGCAGTCAGCCTCATCCCGAGAACACATCTTTTAACTTTTCATTAGGTTTTCATTTCTGCACCTTTAGTCGCGTCTTTCCTTAATCTAGAGTTCGGGAACAGCAACATGTTTAAAGTGACAAGAACCAATCATTCGATGTTCTCTCATCCAGACAATATCATCGACGTCAGGGACTTTTGCTACAAGCGCAAGACGAGGCAAACCCTTCGAATGTACATTAAAGGGTGGCAAACGAGAACCATTACTGGTATGACTGATTATAACAACCACTAAATTGGACCTTATTATAATATTTATTCGGCCAACATGTCTTCAGCCCCAAAACTCGGAATGTTGCATCTTACCTACCTTTCGTATTGTAAATAGTCAAATCGCGTTTCATAATTGACAGCCCGGAAACGTCAAAAACCATTTCGTGCTTTATCTATGAGGTGGCGTTGATGTAGTGTATCCATTGAAGTACTTGCTAAAGATCGTTGAAATCTTGTAAAGAAACTTCAAGCATTAAACCGTATATTGGTCGTTTGTACGCTAGCAACTGGAAAACTCGGCTGTCAGTATGGAGAAAGTTTGAATACGTGTAAGGTAAGATCCTTTATTAGGGCAATCGCGAGTGTGTTATGTCTTAAGAAGCCAACTGAACTTGTTTATATTATCTTTCTGAAAATATTAGAAGCTAAGAATCTGCAATTTTTCCGGGAATACTTTCGCGTCATGGCTTGGTTTTATAGCGCGTAGAATTGATGATGATTATATATTTCACTCATTGCTTTTAAAGGATGAAAATTTACTTACGTTCTATCTTTCAGATCATGTAATTACTGGTAAAATATACTGGAAATTGGAGCTAAAATCAGGTAAATACACGTAGGATAAAGACGTGTTTTACCAGCTTGAAAAGTATAAGTAAAGGAATGGTTTTTGCTGTTTTTCCCAAGCAAGAATTGATATCGTTGATGCCAATCTTCTTCATTCTCTCATCCTTGACTTTGAGGATTTTGAAATCATGGAAAAGAGAAATGGTCAAGATCAATACGATGACCTTTTGCATCATAGACACCCATGTCAATTTGGATTAATCCTCTCTTTTTTTTATTAAAGATTACCTCTCTTTGCAGAACAATGTGAAGAACTCAAGAAACACTTATACGCTCCACGTTTGGACTCAAAGATAATTATGACTTGTATATATAGCGTGTTAGAACAACAAAACATTGCAAAGAAATCTCTTGATCGTGTATTATCTTTCTCAATACTATGGTAGGTTGGCTTCCCCAAACGTTATTCAGTTTCGTAACTTTGGATATGGTAGAAGGCTGGCATTTGGGGAACACCGTCATCAGCGACGATAGAAATGTGACACCATCGTCAGTGTTGTGAGCTGGTTTGGTATCATAACCAATTTCTGTTATTAGGTCATATATATCGGGATAATAATCCTGGTTGATTTTCGTTGTTGGGTCATATATGAATCAGTATGTGCTGGGGTGGGGCAAATCCACGAATTTAGCTATTTTCGAGCCTAAGAACTTATGTGTCATGTCCTGCTGGGATGAAGCGAATTCATGGTTTTAATCACACCCCGAAGCCAAAATTTATGTATGCCATGTCCCTACGAACGGGTTGGCCTTATTGCGAGTGCGATTTGCGCGTCATTTGCGAAGGCAAATAGTAAGAATATATGCTATCGGGAATATTGCAAACATGTTATCGGGTATATGCTGTCTAGGTACGCTATATACATGTACATACTGTATGTGTCACATAATTGCTATCGATTAATGCTACGTCTTAATCAATATACAGCACATATCATAAATGTTATCTGGAAATGCTATCAATCGATTTCACAGACATGATATATCAAAGTATATCGAATTACCTCAACCCTTTGATATTTTTTTGGTTATTTCATTTATTTCATGATTAGTTTCTTATATTTGTCACTATTGTCACTATGCAAATAAAACTTCTAGAAAAAAAAACACTTTTCCATGATACCTATATATACGATATATGCCTATAGATAAAAAAGAAGAAGTTCGATTTTTCATAAAGACAAATAGTGACATGGTGACACTTATCTAGCTAGAACTCCAGCTTTCTAAAAATGAAAAATGGCTAGTTAAAGTTGTCACTATAAATTTTTTCGTCACTATGAAATGACAAATTTTTATAAATGTATCCGACACTTCATGCTATGCCAAAATATGCGTCTTTGTCACTAGCTCTGCTATAGACCACTCAGATCTCTTTTACCTCAAGTCCACTCTGGGTTACTTTTTTCGGTGATAGTGGGCTTTAACATGGCATTTATCCGCATGCAAATTACATAAGCTATACTTAGAAGCAGTCGGTTTACCACATTCTAAACAGGGAACGCGTTGACGCCTCTTCCAATGAATAGCACATCCTTCTTGTCGATAGCAGGGTTGCTCACAAACCTTCCCCTCATTGGAAAGATACTGACAAAGATAAATACCCGTCATTACTGATTATTATTTTTTTTTTGAAACTTGTTAGTAATACTATCTTAGGTAAAACTAGTTAGTTAATAATTTCAAATTAAACTCTTTTTTTTAGGATAATATTGCGAAATATCTTAGCCACCATGAGTACCCAAAGTGAACCCGATACACCTACTATGCCTTTGACAGATGCAAAACACGTCCGCGCCTCTTGTACCGATCCCCGAAAACTTGGAGCAATGTGAGAACACTTACGCACCTGCACTGGCAATGCCGGCACAAAGTGTCAATCCAGAGATAGAGGAAGAAAATAACGGGGGCTTCTACCACCGGGGCGCCAAAGCTTTTCCTCAATCACAGATTTCGGAAAATGAAAAGACAGGTCAAACGTTTCCAATACTCAGGTGAGGATTATCTAGGAATCCCAACTCGTAATGATGTAGTTAGAGAAAATGAGAATGGACGACTTCAATTCTTGAACAAGCCTTAGCTAACCGAGAAAACATACCATATATTAATGGAACCCCTTATTATATTTTGCGTTTATATGGCCCACTTATCAATGGCCAGAAAGCAGTAGTAACTACTATAGGTATTAAGGTTTTCTTTGACATCCACATTTCTGATGATAATAAAGATATCTATCTATTTGAAGCCGAAATAAAAAACATTCTCGTTAATGAAAAAGACGTAAGGGAAAATCGTAGAAGGAAGTAAAATCAGAATAGAGCACATAAAAGCGTTTCCTATTCGTGGATACCATACAGAAAAAAAGGTATATCTTCGTGTCATTACAACAAATACTTTTCAAAGAAAAATAGCTTTTAATATCATCCAAAAGCATAACCTGGAAACTGCATCAGATGATCGTAGTTACTTATTATCGCAAAGTTGCTCGCGAATATGGAATTTCTCTTTCGGGTAAGTAATTACAGTTATAATAAAAGTTCTCCTCTTTTCATTCTGTGAAAGACTTATCAACAATAAGCAATTTATTTCCAACTTCAGCTATGATACATGATCGGACTCTAGTATTAACACGGGATATAGATACCCATACAGAACGTGAGTTAGGTCAATTACCCCGACCATGGCATTCAGAAGATACTGTATTCATGATTTGCATGACCATTCACTGGAAGGATGATCCAAAACCATTAAAACAAATCTGTCTTGTCGAGCTCACGGTCGTATGTGGAAATCAAACAAATATAAAGGCACTTGCATTATGTTGGCACCCGATATTGTGATAGGTTTCAATGATTCGGACTATGATTGGCCTTTCATCGTATTCTTGATTGGATGTGTACAACCGAACAGATTTTACGTTGGAAATATAGGGCGTTCTTCGGATATGTATGCGAAGATGAAGAGGAAGATTTAGTAAAAATTAAGATTAGTCCAGAAGAGTCCTTGCACCTTTAGCGTTCAATCGTAGGTACAACTAAATAAAGGAACGCAAAACTCCAGAAGAGTCCTTTATTTCTTCTTTCCTGAAATTACCGGGATGTGTTCCAATTGATGTTCGAAAAACTATGTCCACGTTCTGAAGCACAAAAAGGAAGCTCACTCAAGTTTTGACATGTCAATAGACTGTATGTGGGATTATTACGAAATAGCGAAACAAGGTTATTCTACAAAATCTGCAGAACATATGCGTGAAGTGGCAGAATATTGTAATATCGATGCCCTACGATGTCGACAGCTTCTGGTTAAGCAAAATGTGATAAATGACAATAGAGAAGTTGCATCAATTGCTTATGTTTCTCTATTCGACGCCCACTCTCGTGCAAATGGAATGAAGGTATGTAACCCGAAGCCTGGAAGCAAAATATATTGATTAGTATGATACTATGTAAAGATATAGAATCAGGTAAATACCCTGGTGTCCATGTATTTCCTCCAATCAAAGGTCTCATAAGCGTCCAGTTACAGGTTTGGATTCCTTGATTGAGCTTAACTTTAGGAAATAAATTTACATTGTCAACTCCGTACAAAGCGATCATTATTTTCAGATACGTTACCATTTTATTCATGTAACGGTGTTTTATTATACATTTATATGTCGTGTATAAATCACCCCAAAATTGAGATGGACGACCCTAAAAACTTTCTTATCTCAATCGGAATAATGTAACTCTTTTTTCACATCAACTAATAATATTAAAAGTACAATTAACGCTAGTTTTGTGACATCGACTGTCACACTTCTTTTTTGCTTTTCTACGACCACATCGGCTATCAGTGCATGCGCCTCTACAAGCACACCGTATCTGTCGACCACTGCGCTTTGGGCTCTTGCTGCCTCTCTCAATGTCACTTGTCGTTGAGGTATATAATAAGGATGACGCAGAACGAAAGTTACAAATGGTTTATAATGCCATAATTATATGAAAGATGAAGAACGAAAGTTTTAAAATTGTTAAACATCGATCATAGTAACAGTGAGAATGTTAATTATAATTATTACATAACAAACAAAGTTACATGTAAATTGAGATTTTGTAACAACAGTCAGAATAACAACGAGAATTTAATATTAGATAATAGGCTGTTAATATGTCTTATCAAAACGTTATGATAATGGGATTGGTATTCCGTGTAACATCAGAAACGGGGTAGGGGGATTTATATGATACGGCTTTACGATATATAACACTGTGTCTCGAAAACTACATATTTTTTGTACAAATCATATATTGACTGGCTATAATACAAGATTGTTTTTTTTAGTTACATGAGAAAGCATAAGCAATCGTTAATTTTTTGATGATTATGTACACACACTCATGGTTAAAATAGTTGTTTGATCTTTTTTTTGTTTATTATTTTACTAAAAATTACGTAAAAAAAGGCTAATTCAAAACCTTATTTACAGTAATTGATATAATCATCGTCTATAAGTTTCTTTTTTTTCCCCATCAACATCTCAATACAGTATAAGACACGAGCAGGGTTAAAAATACCTTCAGTTTGATCAGAGTTAAAAAAATACCCATCATTTTCCTCCTTTAACCATTCCATTATCTCCCCCTTAACATCTGATGGCAAACCAAGAGAATTGTCTAAGAGAAGTTCAATTTCCGACTTCTTGAACCCATACAAATCCCAAAATTCTTCTCTTAATGCTAGATCTTTCGAAATATTAAAACCTGAGGTGAATTCGGCCATAGCAACGGGAGTCACCCCAGTTTGGAAAACATGAGCTATGCCTTCATCACAAGCATACTTCAAACGACTGTAGAATTGTTTGAATGAACTCTCAATTTTTTCGATCTTGCTTTTAGCTGAGTCACCTTCGTTTTTGTGATGATTGGTGATAACTTGGAGGAGTGTTTCGTTTTTGAGGGCTTCATTCATACCACCATCATATTCATCGATGCAAACATAGAGCTAAAGACGCGAAAGAATATTAGTTTTGTACTTTCTTTATTTAATAAAGATGATAACTGAGCAAGAGAAAAGTACCTTGTGACCACTCAGTATTACAGCATTCAGTAACCTTCCGAAATTCCCCAAAGCATCTGTATTTTCGTCAATAACTTGAAAATGGCGTCCCAACTCTTGTTGATATTGATTCATAAATTTTGATATTTCCACATTCAAAATTGTGTGAAAATTCCCCTCAAAGATTTCGAATGTTGAATTGGTACGAAGTCCAGCAAAATTGAGTTTCAGAACGAGGAATGAGGATGCTAATTTTGTAGGGTTTTTGCCTATGTATAAATCCCCGAAAAGTTGTTTGAATCGTTCTCTGTTTTTTACGTCATAATAGGAGGACAAAGTAGAGAGGAATAGTGTTTTTCCGAAACGAACGAGGACGTAGGGAGAGTATGGCACGAGCTTCAAGATCTTCTATTTTAGTGATGAAGTGAGTCTTATCTCGATAATAACCACCACTCTCTCTTAACTCAGTGAATGACCCTGTTGAAACTATCTTGAGGGGGTTTGAAGCAATTGAAAGGAACCGAGGAAAGAGGTGTGAAAGTGGAAAATGAAAAGAGCGAGGTCGAACAAGTTTTCTTAGAAATGCCATCCTTGCCCAGTAAAGTGTGTTGTACGAGAAGTTAAAAAACGTAAACAAATTAAATCGGGTTCTTAATAAAATAAACGGTGACACAAAATTACGTAGTTAAATCGAAATACGGCTGGGAAGTGAAATTGGAAATGTTGGAATTGATCAAATGATAATGTATAGTAATTAGCAGAATTTTATTAGCTTAGCCAATTTTACCTATCGAAATTAGTTTATTATATATATATTAACTATCCCAAATTCTTAAGAGATAGCGTCTAAAATCGGTTGGCTATCGCAGAATTGTGCGAGCAGGGGCACATTTCAATTTGAAGTTTCCTTTTCTGTGACAAAATTTTACCAAATTTCATTTTTAGCTTTTTGTACTGTCACAGAAAAGCGACGCGCGAAGATGATCAAGAATGGCTAAGCAATTGAGAACAATCAGTACGCCGAGAGCAGCACAAGATAAGCTGAACAAAGGGATAAAATGCCAAGATCTAAAAATAATTAGATGGAAGGTTTTGGAAGAATCTGATGAAACAATCTGTTGAAACAATCTGTCTCAGATGTTAATGGCAAATTTGGCGCTGCGCGTACGAAAGTCATGAGGCTCTTTAGTGGAAGCGTCGGACACCTTAAATGGGAGAGTGAACTTGCCGACGCCATTTTGTCAGCACAAACTTTGAGCGCAAGCAATTTTTATCATTATCTCATTTTATTCTATTTCAGCAGTCTTTTCATTGCGCTCTTTTGTCTGCGCGAAAATGCGAACTTTTCCATGCAGAACTTTGCACACGTGATTTTTTGATCCGCTTCTACAGAGTAATTTATTCTATGACTACTCTGGCTTTCCTGTCTATGCGTACCAAAGAATAGCACTGCTTTCCAAAATGCATTGGGCCTTTTACGTATTCGCTTATGTAACTGTATTTTTACTGATAATTTTGAGAATTCTGATTTTCTACTGTTTTCACACCACATCAATAGTTGTGATAATCTCTGTATTTTGCTTTCTTGAAATAAGCTAATTTTGCTTTAGAACCTTTTAATCGCGGAATAACACGCGTCTAGCAAGTTCAATGTCCTATTTGAATCATTGCATAGTTCACGACGTCTAAGCATCATCACAAATATTTATAATCGGGGCGAAACTGCAAAGCCTTTTGGCAAGTCCTCTCATTGTAATAATGTGCAAGACAAATTTATAGCAAAGAATTTATACGATAACAATTGATGGTAATAGTAGAGACTTATATTTGTTGACAACATAGAAACTAGTTGAGCAAGTCAATGATCTCATTACTAAGCATTGACTGCAGGACCTTAATGTTCCGGTGAGACGAGATAGACAACTCGCGAAGATCAATCGGTACTCATTCACTTGACCTCAGATGAGATGTGATTTTTGGGTAATACCAGGGTTAATGAGCCTCAAATGCCTGATTTGTAGACAGGTAAGTTTACAGTAGCGGACATAAGTATCCGAACGGTTGTATTACCTAAACGTACATAATAATAACTCCTTAAATTTTCCAGG